ATGTCATTTTACTCAAAGGGAAACAACAAGGTTGGCGGCGGTGTGGTTTGGAGTAAGGAGGGGCTGAAGAAGTGAATCCGCAGGAGACTACTGGGATTGTCCAGGTGAAAGATAATAAAGGCAGGAGTCAGGACAATGTTCATGGAAAGGAAGGAGAGAGAGTCAAGAATAATTTCAAAGGCAGATTTGAAAGAACTTGGTAACCAACTGGGGACTTGGGACTGAGTCAAAATGTTCCTCTGGTTTTCGCCCCAGGGTCCTGAAATGATGATCATGCCTTTTTTGCGGAGAGAAATTGCAGTTAGTTTAGGAGTGAATCAGAACTGAAAACTTGGGTGTCAGCAGTATGGATGACTTTGTGAAAAGTTTGAATTTAACGGGAAAGAGAGGAAGGAGAGTTTGAGTGTCAGTAATTCTAAAGCTAATTTACGAAGATAAATCTCTTTTGGATTAATTCTTTTCTTTAGCAAAACCAAAAGTTAATTCTATTATGGAGTCTTCTTCTCATTCTTATCAGGAACCTTTATTCTCTTTTTGGATTTGGAATTCCTGTGAGAACTTGATGAGAACTATAGACTTTCTTGTATCCCCAAGTGCATGTGTGGCAGGGAGGTGAGGGGCGATGGAATCATAAACATTCATACAAACATTTGCACACAATTTTAGGGAGTTCTTGTACTTTTTGAAACCCAGCCATGAGTCTCAAGAGTCTGCTCTGCATAACTTCTTTTTTAACCAATGCATTAATATATTTTCCAACTATAAAACTAAAACTACATTTTAGGTCCTGTGCTAAGTGCCTAAGTGCCAGCTCATTTAATCCTCACCATTACATTGCCATACAGGTATTACCTATGTGGAGGAACACATAGGTTAAATAAATTGCCCAGAGTTATTATGTGGTAGAGGCAAGATTTGAACCTAGGTCTCCATATTAGGTTTCTCCCTAGAAACAGAACCAGTAGGATGTGCGTGTGTGTGTGTGTGTGTGTGTGTGTGTGTGTGTAAAGAGATTTATTCTAAGGAAGTGGGTCATGTAATTATAGAAGGTCATGAGTCCCAAGATGTGCAGCCAGCAAACTGGTGACCAGGAGAGCTGAGGCTGTAGTTCCTGTCTGAGTCCCAAGACCTGAGAACCAGGAGAACTGATGGTGTAGTTCCCCTCCAAAGGTTGGGAGGCTTGAGTCCCAGGAAGAGGTGAAATTTCAGTTTGAGTCCAAGGACAGGAATAATCTGATGTCCTACTTCAAAGAGTGTCAGGCAACAGGAATTCTCTCTTACTCTGGGGAGGGTCAGTCTTTTTGTCTTATTCAGGCCTTCAACTGATTAGATGAGGGCCACCTACGTTAGGTAGGGCAATCTGCTTTACTCAATTAACGAGTTTAAACATTAATCTCATCCAAAACACCCTCACAGACACACCCAGAATAATGTTTGACCAAATATCTGGGCATCCCATAGCCTAGTCAAGGTGACACATAAGATTAACTACTAGTAGTCCCAACCACTGTGCCCTGTACTGTCATTTAAAAATACACTCTAGGGAATTCCCTGGTGGTCCAGTGGTTAGGGACTTGGCACTTTCACTGCCAAGCCCCCAGGTTCAATCCCTGGTCAGGGAATTAAGATCCCACAAGCTGTGTGGCATAGCCAATAAATAAATAAATACACTCTAATATTTTTCTTAGATGAACTTTCATTTGGCTTTCACACATGCCTTACTTAAATTACTCACGTTAGAGCTGCTGCTTCTCCCATGTTTCCCCTTTCCCCAGTAATGTTCTTCTAACTGAAGATTTTAAAATAAAACCCACGTGGATTCATTCTGTTTGCTTTCTGCTCCCTTTATTTTTTCCTTAAGAAGATAAGCTATCCAAGGAAGCTTCCTCTTGCATTTTAAATTTTCAAAGAGGGTTTTGCAGCTAAAAGTGAGTTAACAACATCTAGAAGAATCCTTGGGTACCCACTAGGAGTGCATATTAGGTGTTAAAAGAGTTTTCAAATTCACTGCATGCAATAGAAAAGAAGTGCTGGGTTTTGGTAGCAGTATTGAAACTTCCAGGTGGCTGTTCAGTATGCAGTGTGGGTGCCCATAAAAGTCAATGCACGATTAAAAACATATATTGTGGATGTTTTCAGGCCCTGGAGCCAATCCAAAATAACAGCTGGGATCTTACATCTCCTGGGGAACTCCTCAAACTTATGAAATTCAGTCCCAAGCAGTCATAACACTCTGTTAGAGTGAAAGGCCCTGTAAGCAGGAGACTGGAAGCTTAATTGTTGGCACAGAGGAAATGGAAGGGCAGCTACGTACTCTCTCTATCACACACATTTCCAAATTCTTTAATGAACTGAGTGCATCCACATAAGCTTGAAAAGGTGATCAAGCAGTCACATTAAAGCCTTTGGTTTACAGGTTTTTTTTTTTTTTTTTTTTTGCGGTACACGGGCCTCTCACTGTTGTGGCCTCTCCTGTTGCGTAGCACAGGCTCCGGACGCGCAGGCTCAGCGGCCATGGCTCACGGGCCCAGCCGCTCCGCGGCATGTGAGATCTTCTGGCACCGGGGCACGAACCCGAGTCCCCTGCATTGGCAGGTGGACTCTCAACCACTAGCGCCACCAGGGAAGCCCGATTTACAGGGTTTTTTTTCCCCTTTTCTACCAGGTGAGAGAAGCACTAGTAGTAAGAAAACATGTCTCTTCTCCACTGTATTTTGAAAATTGTAAATAGAAAAGTAGATCAAGAGAGGCCACGTTTAGGAGTGTCCTGTGCCCTGTGCAGTCAACTGTGTACCTGTCAAAGTAAAACAATTGATTTAAATTAAGCTTTGAATTCTGTAAATGCAGACTGCAAAGCCACTCAAAGTGCACAAATACCTTGGAAGAATTTGTGTTCAGAAAAGGAGCATAAATTCTTAAGTGAGCAGATGTTTAGAAACAGACATTGCAATTGTAGTTGCAGTTGTAATCTTTAAAGAACATTGATTTTCAAATTTAGTAAAGGAAAAAATAATATGTCTTATATCCTACCCCAATAGCACTATAATTTCCTTGGAATAGGTTTTTAGATATAATGCTTTGAATATGAGATGGCTTTGGACAATGGAACCAAATATATCAGACTGAATTTTAAATGACTTAGTTCTTTTTTTGGTTTGATATTATCAAGTGGTGATCTCACAGTGTTAGGGCCTATTTCCCTTAGATAATATGCTAGGGGTATAGCCCTAGTGAGGTTAAATACCATCATCATCAACCATCACTGACTGAGAGCTTACTGTCCCTGGCTCCGGAGATGGAAAGAGATAAGCCCTATTTCCCCCTGACAGAGCTTAGAGCCCAACTGATGACTTAGATGTACATACAAAGATGAAACAAGGCACTGGATATTGTTGAACAAGCATTTAGACAGTAAGTATTTTGAGGTTGGGGAAGATATGAATCCCTTCTTAAGAGTTTCTTTACCAGTCTCAGTTGTATAATCTGTAAAATAATATTTGACCGTAACACACAGCAGAATGTATTAATTTAATCTTCCACTACTAAACATCAACTTCTTTCTTGTATCTCTAACTTTTAGCCCAGAGTCTAACACATAGTAGGAATTCTGTCTACCCTAGCTAAAATACTATTATTTTAACAGTTGTGAGCTGCAACTCCCTAGCAACTGTAATCTGTCACTCATCTTGGCAGGATAACTGCACCACTGATTGCAATGTAACTATAAGAGTATGGTTTAGTCCCTACCTTAGTGTGTAGGTCTTCTAGAATTAGGCTTGTTAGAACAACCACATACATAATATGCTATATAAGATGCTATTAAAACAAAAAGCAAGCACGCCAATGCTGCAGTCATTTCTATGTTGTCAAAACCTAAGTCTTTGCGGTGTACAGGCACCGGCTGTCCTGGTTATGGCTGGGTTTACCCTGTCCCTTTGGGACAATCTATGACAAATGCCGTTCTACACATAAGGCTGGTGGGACTACATCTTGAAACAAGAGCAGGACAAGAGGAAAGTACCCAAGGAGTCTTGTTAATTTTAGGATGGAGAGTGGGTCATTTAAAGGTGACAGGTGCGACATTCATATTGATTTTCTGGATTTTACTTCTCAAAGAGTCTGGAAAGAAGATTTGAGCAGCTCAGATGGGATTTCTACTGATAACCCCCGGGATGGTTTGACTCTGCCCTTCCTTTAGCCCTTCAATTCCTTTACTCATTGAGGTTCCTGGGCCCGGGCCTCTCCTTTGTTTAGGAGAGACAGCCACTTGTATTTGGCAGCTCGGCAGCTCTGTAATGACAGACAGCCACCCAGCCAAGGGGCAGCAGCAGAAGCAAACATCCCAGCCTGATAAGACTGCTTATGCAGTGGCAGGGAAAAAAAGATTCTATCTTCCTGTCTTTTGTAGTTATTACATTCCTCTGGCTGTATTATTACGTTTCCAAGGGAAGAGAGAGAGAGAAGCCTGGCAAGGGCCAATGTCCTCAGTCTGGGAGAGCAAACTGCAGTTCCTTCAGAGGCCAAAATAAACTGCAGGACAGAGAGAGTCATAAGTGGTTGGTCCCTGACAACTACAAGCCAGTAGTTATAGCCGCAGGGGCCCCAAATTCCTCAGTCCCCATCAGACACTCAGGAGGTGAAGACTTAGGCATTATCTAGCTGGGCCCCCAGCGAGGTAACCCCGCAGGAGAGGCAGTTAGTTGCCAAGTGGAAGACTCAGGAGCCCCTCCTAACATTATCCTTTTGAAATCACAAGCAAGCGCCCCCAAGTCTGGGCGGAATCTTCCAGACTCTACCGTAAAGCTGCCCTCTCCCCTCAATTCATCCTTCCACCGATATTCTATGAACCTATGACAAGGGGAAGAAACTAATCATACAAACCTGAGCATAAAACCCTTCTTATACTTGAAGACAACGATTAAATATTCACTGAGCCAAGATCTCCCGGCTTCACTGAAAACAAAAGAGGTTCTCTACTCACGCCCTTCCCACCCGAGCAGAAGACGTATTCCCGGCCCCGGCTGGCGAGGACCGGGCGAAAGTTGCGATTTCTCTCAGCTGAGGGCAAAGTTAGCGACTCCGCAGCTGCAAAGTCTCAGCTAGGGGGAGGGGGCGATAGCCCGGGCCGGGGGAGAGCGGCAGGAGGAGGGACTAGAGGGAGAGACACTGCCCCCTACTTCAGCAAGGTCGTCGTCCAAGCCGGTGCAGCCGCCGGTTTAGGTTTTGGGAGGGAGGAGCGGCAGCCGCGGCTCGGCGCCAGGATCTGTACCTGGCAGGCCGGCCGCCCGGGGCGCGGAGGGTGTGAGCGCGCGCGCCCCCTTCGTGCCCGCTCAGCCTCGCGCGCGTCTCGGGGGAGGCTCCGCCACCAGGCGCCTGGGGAACCCGCAGCCTCAGTCCTGCCGCCGGCGGAGCTTTGTGCGGCGGCGGCGGCGGCGGCGGCGGCGGCTCCGAGTCCCACCTGCTGGCGGCGGAGAGACAAGGAAGGGGAAGAAGGAGGAGGAGGAGGGGACAGAGGCGGCGGCGCGAGCCCACTCCAGCCGTCCGCGCCCACCTCCCGGGGGCTCCGCAGCCCCTGCTCTAGGCCTGTACGCGCCCCCCGCCCCCGGCCCGGCCAGGCCTCCCGGCCACACGGCCGCCGCCGCGGCTGCAGCCCCTTCTGCCCGGCCCGGCCAGCCCGGCCCGGCCGCAGCCACCCGGAGCCGCCGGCGAGTTTGAGGCGAGCGCGGGGCGCGCGGCGCCGCCTCGATGCGCCCGGGAGACGCCTCGGCGCCCCAGCCCAGCTGAACAGCCCCGAGAGCGCCGCGGCCGGCTCGGGAGGGCGAGCGGGGAGGCGCGGCCAGCCCCGGGAGACGGAGAACCAGCGGGCGAGGAGGAGCGAGCCCGAGAGCGAGCGCAGGGAGCAGACACCATGCCGGGCTGGAAGAAGAATATCCCCATCTGCTTGCAGGCGGAAGAGCAGGAGAGAGGTGAGCAGGGCGACCGGGCGGGGAGGGCCGGGGAGGGGGTCCGGGCCGGGGGCCGCCCCGGAGCCTCCCTCTCCCCGGGTTCCCTCCCGACCTGTCCGCGGCCGACGGGGGAGGGGCGCCGCGCCCTCCGGGGTCGCGGGGGAGTCCGGGTGGCGGCTGCGTGCGAACTCCAGATTTCTTTCTTTTTTTGGGGGGGTGGGGGGTGGGGGAGAAGGAGGGTGCTGCAGTAGGGAACTTTTAAGTCGGGCAAAGATTTTTTTCTGGAGAGAACGTGGGGGAACTCTAGCTTCTCCAGGGCCCACTTGCACGTGGAGCCCCGGGCGGCCTTCTGCGGGGTGGGTGCTGGGGTGACCGGGCGCCGGGGTGGGGCGGGGGTAGTCCTGCAGTGTTTTAAGTGACTTTTCAAACTTTCCTCCTCCCTCCCGTCGTCGCTTTCGCGGTGTCCCCGTCTCGGGCTGGGCTTTGAGGGTGCTGCCACCCAAAGTTGCTGGAGAATCAGCAAGAAGGAGGCGGAGGAAGAGCGTGGGGGAAGGCAAGTGGGCGCTGCCGCAGGTCTCCGGAGGGGGAGGGGAGGAGGGGGAAAGCTGTCGCTAGACTGAGGGTCTGGGGCAGAGAGTGCCTCGGAGATGAGTTATGCCCCAGTGCAGTCCTCGCTGTCAAGTTAATACCGCAGGACTGCGGGCTTTTCGTAATTGCTGTCTGTTTCCTTTGTAAAAGGCGGCTCTCGGTGCCAGGTGGCTTGTAGACCTTTTGTGCTTCAGCCTGACAAGTGTACTGGGCACGTTGCCTTTAAGTGACTTGCGGCGAGGAAAGTTGAAGGCCTTTTTTGCACCTCCAAGGCTCGGTTCTGTTGAGGTCATTTCATGGTGTTTGGATTGTGCGGAGGTTGGCCGGGGAGTTCATCTCGGTAACCTGGAGATGATGTACTGAGTGTGCCAGAATTTCCTCTACGGGCCGCACGGGGCCAGGGGGGTGTGCGCCGTGGCTCTGCTAGCGTCCAGAGGGCCCCTGCCTGGCAAGGTCCACCAGGGTTTATTCCTCGGCTCCTCCCACCCCGGCCTGCCCTGCTTCGAGGAAAATGCTTTAGAGTTGGAAGGGTTTCAGGACGCTGGGTCCGTATGGGCTGTGCAACCGCCAGGGCCGAGGATGAAGGGTGCTGCGTGGCTGGCGGGGTGAGGAGGCCAGTCTGGTGAGTGGAGTAGGCAGAGTTGTCAGGGGAGCTGAATCCAGCAGAATGATGAGTTGGTACGGAAGGTGGCTTGCTTATTGGGCACGCCAGAAGTTTCAGGTTTTGGAAATAATGCCTACTACTGAAGAACGAATGTACGATTTTCGGTTTTTCTCTAGGTGGCACAACCTGTCTTTGGTTTATATCCTGTTTAATGACTCAGGGAATTCATCCCTTTTTAACCACTTCCTTATTAGAGATGTGCATTCATTTCCCAGCACACGTTCTGGTGACCGAACTTACGTTCACCCACTCAAAATGCCACCCCTGCTTTAGAAAAACTTCTGCTTTTCCCTTTAGTAGGTCATATCTTAAAAGGTGCAAATAGTAGTACCAATAATTTATAACCAGGTAAAAGCACTAAATGAAAGCCTTCTGTCAAGCGTGGAGTGTCTGTCCTGTCAACTCAGCGTCACAGTGCACTTGGTGTTAAATGTATCCATTTGCTAAAAAACCGTGGCAGTGCTGCCTACAAGTTTTATCAGAATGCTGAAATGGGTAGATTTTTGGATCGTGACAAAATGTACTTTTATGTCTTTTAGAAATATATGGTAACTTTGAAAGATGATCGCTTAATCTGCTTGTTGGAGATAAGACTGAATTTCCTCCAGAACGTAAAAATCTGAGTCAGAAATTGGGTATTCTGCCTTAACTTCTCCAGTAGGAGAAAACAGGGAACGTTTGTTACTTGGTGTCTTTTTTCACGAAAAAGTTTCTTACTTCTTGCTTATATTAAGTGATGCTTTTTTAATTAGTATTGTTTTTGTTTGGTTGTGGCATTTCTTTTTGAGGTCCTGCTTCATTGGGAATGCACAAATGTGTGTTTTGTTCCTTTTAAAATCTCCTACCTGGTGTTTGTGTTTCAATTGTGTGTGTGTGTGTGTATACATATATATGTATACATATATACATATATTTGAATGAACTGATTTTTAATGCATGTGTCAGAGGATACTACTTGAGGTTGTCTTATTGTTTTGGAAGAATTTTATTGTAAAATAATGAGCAGTTTTCTATTTGCATTTGAAATCAGATTGTATTTAGCATTTTTCCTTCTAAGTGATTCAAATAGTGTTGAATTAGGTTCTTGTCAAATATAAACAGAAATATTAAACTATCAGGTTGGTTAGGAAAATAAGGAACATAAAGGGAACAAATACATTTTAAATTTTATCTGGGGATAACATTGACCAAAAAGCCCATTTATAATATCTTACCATTAAATTCTAAGGTTGGTTGTGCTCATAGAACCATTGTTCTTTCCACATTCCCCCAACCCCAGTTTCCATTTAAACATTCTAAAACCCATTATGGAGACTACTCTAGCATACCATTTTTTCATGTAGATTTTATTTAGCTAAATCTCTTTATGAAACAATGCAAATTAATACAGGCTGCTAGCTTCTTTAAGGACCATGTATTTGAACAAGTATTTCTAGGCGTTATTCTTGAAAAAAAAAAACCGCTAATCTCAATTCAAAGGTTTAGGGAACCTGCCTTCTTGGTATTGTCACATACAAAGAGAGGTCTGGCCAATCCATATGACTTCATGCCATACCTACACACCATTCATAACTTGGGTTCACCTTGAATGCCTCTGTCAAGATGATATTGAGTGAACTATCGCTACTGCATGCAGTGCTGAGCAGAGAAACTGTAACGTATGAGTTGCTGCAGGAAATGCCGTCATTTCCAAAATGACATGTTAAGATTCACCCATGTACGGTAAAAATTCACCCACGTGCTATTAAAATTCAGGACACATTTCTCTGTCTTCCCCCCGATTTTCTGCCTGAGCTGATAAACCCAATCCATTTAGAAACTGCCTAATACACTTTTGGGTAAATGTTTTAGAAGAAGATAAATGATTCTGAAAACTGTTCTGTTTAATATCCCTTCCAAGCAAATTAAATTAAGCAATTCATTTGTTGTTTTAATCTGCTTATTAGCTGATCGTGTGTAATAAGAATATAGTTGTTAAGGAAAATCTTAGTGTAAAGGGATAGGTGCCTCAGTAATTAATGATGCCTTTCTTTTGCCTTGTAGCTTCCCTTCTGATTTGTGTGGACTTGGTTAGTAAATGTTTGGGTGTGTGGTGTATACATATTCTCCGTGGGAAAATGTATGCATTTTGTATATCTCCCCTCCCTCTTGCCTTTCTGTTCTTCTCATAAGTTTTGGAGGTCTACAAGTGAACTTGAGGACTTCCCTTTGGACCCCTGTAGGAATTACTGTGTCTGGGGTTTTGCTTCTGTTTTGTCAGATGAGAGTATTTGGATCTTATTAGATGTAAAGAATTAGTGATTATAAAATATGTATGAGAAGGCACAGGGGTCTTAAGTAGTGTGCTTTTATTACATCTTTGGTTTGTTTCATTTTCCACATCACAAAGAGGTCTGGTGACCCTACCCCGCATAACCTGCTTAATAAAAAGTCCAATTTGAAATTTGAGTCTTGACTGGGGAATGCTGTGGGGAAAAGAGAAGAGATCAAAATGCACAAGTGTTTGCTGTGCGTTGGGCACTGTGTTTGACATTTCCCGAGCATTATTTGGTATAGTCCGTACCACGTGCCAGTAAGGTAGGTATTATTATTTCTCCTGACAGTGGAAGAAAGTGATGCTCAGAGAATGAAAAAATTTGCCTCAAGTTACAAAGCCAAGACTTAGGGCACCCGTTTCTAGACATAATTCAAAAAAGAAATTGTTACTTTTCCTAAGATGAGGTTTTTAGCATTGTATTAACATTATAATGTCTTACGGTTTTTCTTTTGGACAGAATTTTAATAAACTTCCACCAAATATTTCATTAAGAATTCACGAGAAGAGTTTTGTAGTTACATATCCTGCGGAAAAGCTTCCAAAGTATATTTTGGGCTTTTGAAAAACTGTCTTTGCTAGGTAGATTTATTAACCCTAACTGTAAGGATTGGCATGTCAGCATATTTCTAAGTGGAGTTATTTGATTAAACTTAAAGAGACTCATGTAAATGAATGGCTTTTCCCCCAAGGACTTGAAATATTACATAGTTTTCCTTTTTTTCAGAGTATTTGCCATGAAGGCAAGAATGAACAAGAATTAGGTATTTTCCCTCACTGTGATGAACTAGGAAACTACTATATTGTTAATAGCCACTGTACATTTGCTCTTTTGCCAACTTTTTATTTAATTAAAGCCATCCATCTGAGCTCTCAGCCTGGCTATCTATCAGAAGGCCCAGTGGCCAAAGGGGCATCAGATAATGTTTTTTTCTGCGGCAGCTTTATTGGTTTTTCATGAAGAAAAAAGGATCAACTTAAATTGGTAAAGGATATTGAGAATTGATTATCATGGGTTTTAAAATGGTTACATTAAATGCTGTGTGAAGGCTGGTGGTTTAAGGCATTTAGGATTTGATCAGTTTATTTTCAGTTAAATTACAGTAGTAGTTCAGTAATAAAAAATACAAGAATAGTAGTAATACAAAGTAACACATCTAACAGAGAATACTATTCAAACACAAGAGCAAAACCTGGGTTTGAATCTATTGTTTTATCTTTTAGGAAAGTTTATTTCTCCTTAAATTCGAAGGTGTCCTGAATATAAATATAAAAATCTATCAGAACAAAATTCCATATTCAAGACATCTATTTATTTAGACAGGTCAGTGGCCAAAGGGTGTTGTCAGTTTCACGGGAAAGTCAACGTTCTTTAAGTACATCTGCTGATTAAAATGCGCCTGATTGAATTTCTTACCGCCTTTTATTTCAACAGTGATTAAACTTTAAATACTA